GTTACACGTGCATGCACCTAGGGGAGCGTTACATGTGCACACACCTAGGGGAGCACTATATGTGCACACACCTAGGGGAGCACTGTACACGCACCTGGGGGAGCGTTACATGTGCACACACCTAGGGAAGCACTCTGCACATGCCTGGGGGCGCACTGAATGCATGTCCTGTCCTGTCCTAATCCTCGTTTACCAATAAAAGAAAATGGCACAACTACGAATAATCCTACAACTTTTCACCAAGCTTTGTTAGTTACCTGTACTTTCCCCGCAATAAAAATAAGTAAGACCCCATTCATCCTATTTGTAAAAATGTTTAACCCACATGTTAAAGCATTCTCCAAGACTGATGATTCCATCTCTGGGTAGAAGTATAGGAAGAAATGATATAATTCATATTAATAAAAAGTAGATCCAGAAATAAAAGTTCAAAACCTCCAGTCTATTTTTTTCATCAACTCTTAGCACCACGTGATGAAAAAAAACCTCCAGTCTTGTTCAAAGAGGCCCCAACTTCTGTGAACACACAAGGATCAGGCACCAGCTGGCCCGAGCTCTAGGTTAGGGGCTATCCGGGACGCCCCCTCTGGAGCCCCCAGCACAGCCCTCAAGTTGCCCATGGCCACCTATGGGAGGCAGAGCTGCAGACGTGAGAGTCACGCGGTGCAGGAAACCTATGACGTGGCCAGGCCAGCACTGGGAACGGGGTGACTGGACTGAGATGGGGCCTCCCTCGAGAGTCACCAAGAAGGAACAAAACAGCTGCCCAGAAAGGCTGCGATGGGAAGGAAGGAAAGCTGGAGCAGCTGCAGACCACATGAGAGCAGCCTGCCACGCTGTCGCCAGGGCCTCCCGTCCTCAGGGTTCGCACCTACGTGGAGACTGCTCCGTCACCCTCTCCTCGCTGCACTGCCACGGGGCTGGCAAGGAAAACGCCCAACACCTAATGTGATGTTCAGGTCCACAGGGCCGACTTCTGCAGGAGGGTTCCCCCGGGACCCGTCTGAAACCCACAGAAATTGAAGGGAAGCTTCCACGTTAGGCTCCTACCACAGCATGTACTTCCTACAACTTACTGTGATGACCTAACTGTCAAGCTATTCATCATGTCCCGCATCGACGCCCACTGCACGGGGCAGCCGTGGGTTCACGCCCCTATGGAAGCACGACGACTGTGCCTGGAACGCAGTGAGCTACTATCACGTCTCCCCCACAGTCAGCTCCACAGGCCGTAAACACATCCTTATATTTTAGTTCATCCTTAAGCTTAATAAAAAGAGAGGAAAACATTGAAAAAATATTTTACAAATTAAAACCCCAATTTACATTGAAAACCATTTTTGAGAAAGCTTTTACATATTTGCTTGCTTTTAGAGCACCACCACAAAGCCTGGAGCATCTCTGACCCTCTTTGCTATGCTGTCGGTCACTGGACAAACACACTCTGTCCCTTACCTCCAGGCATCACTTGACCAACGTCCTGAACAGTAAGGACTGACAACTTTTCCTCAGTGTCAACTCTGATCACACCGTAACTCAGACCGTTCATGGACAGAATGGCTTTTCTTGGAGGAGGCCCTCCCAGATCAGGTGGCCTAGAAAACAAAACCACCACCCAGTTAACTGGGGAGGGGACACAATTCCAGGGGAGACGGGACCAATGGCTCCCTTGCCTGGGGCACCACTCTGCACCAAAGCCACTGCTCCGTGTGACAGCCTGTGGGAACTGCATGTTCTGAAGATGCTGAGACGACGTGTCCAAACCACGGGCCCCTCTGCACTGTGACCTCAACACTCCTCTCATCTGGAGGTAGCCTGTGACTACAGAGTAAGTGACACTATGTGACTTCCAAGGCAGGTCATGAAAGATGAGTCAGCTTCCACCTGGCTGTCTTGGGACACCCGCCTGCAGCCTTGGGCAGCCAGGTAAACAGAGTGACTATGTTGGGGCCCACACCAGCCCAGTCTCCCCACTCCGAGGGGCCAGGGGCAGCCTAGACTGTGTACACGCAGAGCTAAAGCAGTCTCGGCCCCCAGAGTTCCAGCTCAGACACCACCTCACTGCAAAGCAGAACTGGCAGAGCCCCTCCCAAATTCCTGGCCTACAGCACGTGAGAGATAATAAAATGATTGTTGCTGTTTTAAGCCATTGAGTTTGGGAGTGATTTGTTATGTAGCAATAGTAACCGGAACACTGAGCAACAAAGGTCAGTATTTTCTCCAGCAAGAAAAAATTATATTGTAGAAGGTTGGGTGCAGTGGCTCACGCCTATAATCCCAGCACTTTGGGAGGCCGAGGCAGGACGATCACTTGAGGCCAGGAGTTCAAGACCAGCCTGGACAACAGAAAAAATTATACTGTCAAGTAAAACAAATTACTATAGAACAAGGGAAAGAAGAATAATTTATTGTTTGTGAGGGACAGAGGCATTATTTTTAATGTTAAGTCATAAAAAACTCAGGGCACTTAATACCTCGTATATGTAAATACATACTATTTATGAACTAATGGATATATATGAATATCATATAAGACTACAACTGAGATTGTAATGATTGAGTCGAGGGTAGGAAATTAGCATAGAAGATGCCCCCAGCTGTAGGTACACTGACCTGCGGGATGGTGCTGAGGGCAGGGAGGGAGGGAGAGATAAGCAGGGAAGGAAGAGTGAACCAAGGGGCCCCGGCCATGGCCTGAGGTGCAACGCCGCTGCAGAAGGCACACAGGAAAGATCCCGAGCCCAGTGCCCACATACGAGGACAGCTCAGGGCAGTTTCCAGGCCTCCCAACACCACCTTCCAGGTTGGATGGGGTGATGCACGGAAAACACACCCTCAACAGCAGTGAGGGCCTTCTTGGGGAGGGCGCTGGGCACTGAGCACCAGGCCAGTGCTTCTTCAGGCAGGTCGCAGCTCCCTGTGGACACACTCCATGGCCGACAGGCACCTGCCTTGGAATGAGGACTAGTCCCTGAGTTACAATGTTTACTATAGCTAAGGATCAGATGACCAGGCCTCCGTGATCTGGGAAGCAGCACTTAGGAAAATAACAAGTCGACATAGCCGCAAGAATCCAGAATATGGTCCCGGGCCGCCACCCGACTCCCAGCACAAATGCATGCTGGCGAGCAGTGTGGGGGTGGGGGTGGGGGCGCTGCACAAACACAAGGGAGTCCTGGCACAGCACGGGCACTGCTTCAGGCTTCCTGCTGTGCAGAAACAGACTAACCAAGTTCTGTGCCACAGGCGACTCAACTGTATGCGGATGACTGAATCACACACTCACAGGACGACAAGGAATGAGGTTACCTGCGGATGGCAACCGTCAGCGCCTCAGGAGAGCTGGCACAAGGACAGATGACCTCCGGCCTCAGACCTCGGGACTGGAAGACGTTGAGGAAGGCATCACAGGAGGATATCGACCCTGCTTGAAGCAACAAGAGAAGAGTGCCAGAGGCAACTGGAGCGCCGGTTGGGAATGCGGGGTGGTGGGGTGGGGAGGCCGGTCACTGGCACCCAAAAGCACAGGCCACGGGCCTGGGGGCTGCACACGCTGACCCACCCCCATCCTAATGGAAGATTTCTGCTACAACATGGGGAGGCTGAGGCTGTTTCCACGAAACACATGTGACATATTTTCAAATCACCCACAAATCAGAGGTCAGAAATTTAATCCTGTGTTTGTTACTGAGGTTCAACTCATCACTGGTCCTGCTCTCCCTGTCTTCTCCTGGACCGGGCCAGTGGGAACAGCCTCCTGTGCTTCATGGCCTGGAGGCAGCAGAGTCTGCTAAGGGACCCAGAAACGTCCAAGGAACTGAAGCTTCCATGTCCCACCAAAGCCAGGTCAGAGCACGCCCCACGGCACAGGGAGCGCCAGCTCCTGGAAGTGGCCTCAGAGCTACACCGTCTGCACCACTGGCCGCCGCTTCTGTGTTCTGGCCCCAGCTGCCCCGCTTCTCCCGACGTCCCCTCCCCCGAGGAGGCACCTGTCATAGCCAGGGGTGGCAGGCCTCAGCAGTCAGCCCTACAGACGTGTAGCCTGAGCTCCAAGGAGACTCTGTGTGCTTGGGACTCAGCACAGTCCTGTGCCCACGGGGACCTGGCTTCTCCATCAACCTCCTATTCTCCCCAGAAGACGGGGGCCCTCAGACTTCGTGCTTTTCAGGCAAGAGGGTGTCTTTTATGGAACCAAGATAGCCACAGACTGTTCAGTGCTGAGAGATGCACAGGTGCTCCAGAGGCCAGTGGTGGGGAAGCCGTGTGGACGGCAAGGCCAGGATCTCAGCAGGGTACAGCCACTAGGGAGTGCCGTTGGGAGAAGAAAGCCAGGAGGGGCTGCATGCTCTGACCCCATCGCAGGGGCCACAGCCCAGTGGGCGAGCAGACGGCCAGGGTCACTGAGAAACTAGGCGGAGTGACAGTGGCCGGGCAAGGGTAGAGATGCAGAGGCGTGAGCAGTGCCACAGGGCTCAGAGGCAGGTCCTGCGTGGCGAGGTGCAGAGAAAAGGAATGGGAAGTTCTAGAGGTGCTGGAAAGTGGGGCGCCCTCATGAGAGGTGGGTACACAGAGACACACGGGCTGGCCACATTGGAGAGCAGATAAGATGAAAGGCCAGCTTCTGGTCCAGGACGGTTTCCAACACACAAACTGCAACATGGACTCAACAAGAAAACTGCCACCTGGTCATGTGTAAGGAAGCCCCTGCTCAGCACGTCACTGAGGCCCCCAGGATACCGAGCCAGTCCTGGGCAGTCCTGGCCCCAAGAACTCACATGCAGCCTCCACACGAGCAGCTACACCCAGACTGCTGTGCGCAGGGAGGGCCAGGTGCTCAGGCAGTGGCCCTGGGAAGCTCCCCACGGGAGGACGTGGGGGTCACCCAGGCACACGTAGGAGGAATGGCCGCAGCCAGAAGCCAGAGAGGTGGAGGCATGAGGACAGAGGCAGGAGGCTTGGGATGGAGCCCAAAGAAAAGCAGGGACCCTGATTTCTCAGGAAAGGTGACTCACTAAGTGGAACTTTCATCAACTATGATAAAACTGCTTTTAAATGTAGTGCCTGACCAAACACTCACGAGATATGCCAGAGAGTCACCCCCACACGTTCTATGTAACAGAACATTACAGGACATTTGTATCTCATATAACACTGGCAGTGGGAACGCCTCCATTTTGCTTCTTAACGTGTTCTATTTCAACAGATTACCTGGCCCACCTGGCGAGTCAAGGTTTGCAGGAGGGGACACCACGTAGGCCATGCCCTTGGCCCCGTGGGCTTACTCACATGGGTTAGCGCCATCAGCCACAATCAGCATGCGCAGAGAGCTGAGGCTGACATCCCTCTGACCTCGCTGAGCTAGGAGAGACCAATGCATGTCTCGGGACTTCACCAGTGCAGCCCGGGCTGCGGAGAGAGGGTGGCATAGACGTCCCAGCTTCAGAACAAGGGCCGGCACCCTCACGCTCTTGCCGACCTGCGCTTCCCTCATCCCACACGAGGTGCACACGCAGAAAGGAGACAAGAGACTTATCTTCCAGGCCACGGGCTCTCTCTCCTATGCAGTCTAACCCACCCCCAAGCCCTAAAAGTCAACTTTGAGGTACAAACAAAGTCTCTCTCTGTTGCTCTGGCTAGAGTGCCATGGCATCGATGCAGCTCACACCAACCTCAAACTCTTGGGCTTAAGGGATCCTTCTGCCTCAGTCTCCTGAGTAGCTGGGAGGACAGGCACATGCCATGATGCCCAGCTAATTTTTTGTTTTTCTACTTTTAGTAGAGACAAGGTCTCACTCGTGCTCAGGCTGGTCTCAAACTCCCGACCTCTACCAATCCTCCTGCCTCAGCTCCCAGAGTGCTAGGATTACAGGCGTGAGCCACTGTGCCCAGCCTCAGATCCATTTCAACATTAACTTTTTCCCCAGAAGTTCTGTATTGCTCTTTTCATATCTGCCTATTTGTCTCATGCCGTCCCTCCCTGAGTTGCTGGCACTGGTGTAACCAGGCAGCCACATCATGGCCTGTTGTATGCCGGAAGCCTCGGGGCAATGAGGTGGGAAGACTCTAGGATTTGAATAGACAGACTTGGCCCTCAATCCTGGCTGTGCACTGACTAGCCTGTGGTGCCAGGTAAATCCCCCACACTCAGGCTTCAGTTTTCTCCATAAAACAGGATAAACAGAGACAGCTGCCACCTCCAGGTAGCTCTGAGGACACGCCCGGAGAGCACACCATCCAGTAGGTAGAGCAAGTTGCAGGGCAGCCCGGGGCAAGGCAGTGCCTCAGGGGCTGGGAAAGGGGCTGCTGAGCTCTACAAGGTATAGCCAGGGGACTCGGTCCCAGGGTGAGGGGAGCAGGTCCTAGAATCCACCAGGTGGCCACATCTTTCCTCATCCGTCCTAGACTGCATCAGGCCCCGGACAGCTGGCAGGATCTCAAACACCCCCACTCCAAACCCCAGCCAGGGCCTCGAAAATCCCCACCCCCAACCCCAGCCAGGTCCTCAAACACTCCAACTCCCAACCCCCAACCCTGGCCAGGACCTCAAACATCCCTCACGCCCAATCCTGGACAGGACCTCAAACACCCCTCACCCTCAATCCCGGACAGGACCTCAAACGTCCTCATCCCGAACCCCGGCCAGGACCTCGAACGCCGTCACCCCCAACCTTGGGCAGGACCTTGAACACCCCTCACCCTGAACCCCAGCCAGGACCTCGAACACCCCCACCCCCAGGCAGGATGAAGGTAGATGTCACAGGGCTCCATAGCCCACATCTGCAGTTCCACATGCCAGCTTCATTTTTTCTTAATCATGAAAGATCATTTCAAAGAGAGTTCTCTAAAGAAGGATGAGTCGAGTGATGGCGGCATTTCTGTTACCTTTATAGGAACACACTTTCTGAATCCAGGAGAGCGGGTTGACTTTCATCAGTGCGTAGGGGATGCTGACCACATGCATCCTGTTCAGGACACTCTGCGAGAGAAACAGACCTTTTCAGGGGCAAGCAGGACTGAGTCACACCAGAAAAAGCAAAAAAACCCAATGTCCTCTCACAGCTATATTCAGGCACAGGCTTGGGCTCATCTCTGGGTATAGCACATTAGCAATGCCTTGTTCCAACAATCAGTCATTAGTAAACAACACTCACTGTTAACACTCCATGCCAGAGACCAGCATCTCTTTTGAAATCCAGCACATTTGTTAATGTTTCAGCTGAAAGTGGACAAAGAAGGTTAAATTGTTGAACAGCCCTCCCCAAAAGCCCTGTGCATGTTCTAGAGAAATTCTGAGTACATCATTGACACGTAAGAGTTTTAAGGACCAGATAAGCATTTCCAAATACCAGGCACCAATTAATCAATCATTAATCAGTTATTCAGATTACTGGGAACACATAAAAGCAGAAGATCATATAATCTTGGACTGAAACAGGGAACCATGCTCATCACTAATCTGAAGATAGGGGAATACCATACGCTTACAAAGCTGTGAAGATGTCACCACATATTTTCATCAGATGTTCTGAGTGGATGTTCTCTTCAGAACCAGGAGGCGGGCATGAAAAACTGCCATGGATATTCCTACTTTTCAACTTTACACCCAGGCCCCGCTAATCCTCACTCCCAGGGGCCGGGACCTGGCCTCTTCCCTCTGTAAGGGCTGGAGGCTTACGTCACCCTTCAGAAAGTCACTCCTCTTCTCCCGTCTTCTCATCCAGAGGTGTGCAGTAGATACGCCTGGGGGCTGGAGTGGACTGGGCCCTGAGGGCTGCCAGCACGGCCCTTTGCTTGCAGCAAGGACAGAGCCCGGGGTCGGGGCACACCTGCCCCTCCCCGACAGGCACCGTGGCCCCCAGCCGCAGCCACTGGCGGAGACCAAGGGGAACAGGAGGGTCTGACTGGTGTGCCAGGAAATGCTGCTGCACCATGAATGACGACGCTAAACATCCTCTGCTAGCGTGAGAGCCCAGTGCACAGGTGATGTACGTGAGATTAGCACTGGACTGAAGGAAAAGAAAACCATGGGACTTGATCGTATGGATCTAACTTTTTAAAATATTAAGGCCCTTAAAAATACCTAAAATCATTTTCCAAATCTCCACTAAAATCTGTAGCTGTGCCTCCTCAAGCTACCGCTTGCTTTTAAACACCTATATTTCAGAAATTGAAACGTACCAATTTCACTTCCTAGTTTTGTTCAATTTAGTATTGTAATGTAAAAAAACTATAAGTACATTTTTATAGTTTTAAAAGTATTTCTCACATTCTCACAAAATAATTGGGCACAATATATATCATTATTTAAAATATTAAGGCCCTTAAAAATACCTAAAATCATTTTCCAAATCTCCACTAAAATCTCTAGCTGTGCCTCCTCAAGCTACCGCTTGCTTTT